CTCAATAAAATCATTAAAAAAAAAATGCAGGACTGGAAACGAAGGGTTAACTTTTATTTTTAACCATTCCTAATATGGCTGAAATCTTATTTTAAAGTATGTTTCTATTATTTTGGAATTAGATATTTTTCACCAGGAACTTTCCGATTAAAGGTTTAATTAAAGTCTTGTTAAGGAAATAATCTCACCAAAAAGTAAATCTAAAAAATTATTAGGATGTTTCTAAACAGAATAGTAAAAAGTAAAAATATATAAGAAAACTGACAACATAATAAATTATATATGACAATATTTAGGAACAACAGAAAAAGAATCTTTCTGAAGATGGGGTAGAGTCCTGAAACGCTGAATATATAAGCGGAAAACATAAATAATAAAAATGTACCCCAAGAGGAAAATTTAATTTTTTGACTTACCTTCAAGAAACCTAAAAAATTATAATTGTGCAGAACATAAGAATATAGATCGATTATAGGTTTTTTTTAATTTTCAGGGGATTCCACTGGTGCATCTCTAGGACACGACACATGAACCACCTGGTTGACAAGATTATATTTTTATCTTTTAACTTTTTTCAAACAAAGCAATATATGCAAAATATTTATGTAATTTTGATACATAATATATATATTTTTAAATATATTATATAGGAAAAGATAAGGTTTCAGTAAACAATCCTTTACGCCATTGTTTTCTCTCCAGGCCCCTCAGCAGTGACTTTTTTTAAAATTTATATTTACTAAATCTGAAATATTGGAGCACATTTATTATTGTTAGAAACTTAAGTATTAAATCGAGTTTTGAAAATTATGACAGAGGGTTAACCCTTATTTTAGAAAAGACTCATCTAAAAGGTGGGTAAATGTTTTAAAAAGGGATTAGGTACACATTTTACCACACAATATATTATAATGAAAGTAGTGTTTTTTATAACTTTGATTTGCTCTTCCATACTAGGATTAGATACTTTTGATGATACAATGAGAACAGATCCACTTCTCATAAGAAGAACTTGAATATAATTAGTGTTATGTAATTATAAATTCTTTAATAATGATATAGGTTTACGTAATTAGAATAAATAAACCATCTGAGGCCATTATAAAATAGAATAATGTTTGTGTTTATCAGTCTATATTTGTTTCTGTGAGAAACCTGAACTAAATACTTAAAAATCATAATATATACTCTTTTTAAATTATATACATATTTAAATTTATCACTAAAAGCAATATTGAACCTATAATCACTAATGGATTCTGAATTTCATTTTGGGAAGCTTTTTTTTTTTTTTTAATTGCAATTACTCTTGAAAAAAAAGAAAGACACTACACAAATTGATGTTTACGGAGACCTTGAAAGCCAATTAAAAAAAACAAAAGAAAAAAAAAACAGTAACTACAGTAACAATAGAAAAGAACTACTTTTTGGGGTAATTTCTTAATATGTTTTATTAATAAGTGCTTACATATGCATCATCATTTATAAATAGTACATATTGTGAATGCTGAATGTGAAGTATTCAGCTCAGATCACTCACAGAAGCAAATATGATCAATATGAAAAAAAAAAATTATTTTTGGGAGTGGTTCTTCAGCCGGAAAGAGACCCTCTTCCCCTCTTTGGATCTGAAAATGTCTTTTATTTTTATTGTTTTTTTTTAACAGGCCTTTAAGGACCACTTCCTTATCATTAGGTATAGTTGGTTTATTTATTTATCAGAGTAATGACCATTAAAAAAAAACAAAATTCTTTAAATATAAATTCTGAATCCATTACTGGTGTACTTACAATTAGTATACGTATATGTGATACACAGAAGAGTTTGAGTTGATGCTTCCCACTAGCGGATTCAGAATTTAATTTTGGTGGGAGCTTCAGCCCAAAAGATTTTTTTTCATATATATAACGATAACTAATTTTTAAAAAAAGAAGAAAGAAATGAACTACCTGTATGAAATGGTGTTTAAGTGATTCATGAAGTCCTATTAAACGTAATTACACGAACAATAATACTTTAAAAGATAGTTTTTAATATTTTTTTCTATAAAACATGGTTATATTTTACCATTTTGGAGGGGGGGGGAGGGGCTTCAGCCCGAAAGCCTCCCACCCCCGTATATTCGCCTGTGATGCCTCCTACTGGTTTTTTTGCTTTGATAAATAAGATAGAAGTTTACAAAAATGTAATTAAAAGTTTAAACTCCATCAAAAATGTAGTTAAGGATTTCTTTGCAATAAACCTGTATTTTTACTTCCACTTACCTATCAGAATCAGATGCAATATATATGAAATATTGCATGAAATAATTGCATATATGAAAGCCACTAGCGGATCCAGGTTTTAATTTTGGGAGGGCTTCAGCCCGGAAGCTTTTTTTTCATATATATACCGATAATTACTTTAGAAAAACAGAAAGATACTAACTACCTACATGAAATGGTGTTTAAGTGATTCTTGAAGTCCTATTAAATGTAATTAAATGAGCAATAATACTTTAAGACATATTTTTTAAATAATTTTTACCATAAAACATGGTTACATTTTACCATTTTTGGGGGGGGGGGACTTCAGTCCGAAAGCCCCCTCCCCGTAAATCCGCCTGTGATGAAAGCAATGCAATTCGAGTCCAAATAACCAAGTCCAAAATCGTCTATGTGTGTGTGTTTGTATGTTAGTGAACAGTCTAGCTCAAAAACAAAAAGTTGTACGAAACTGATATTACGTATTTAAGATAGGTATATTCCTTAGATGTTACAGCAACTTTTCCCTTAAAATTGGCTAACCGGAAGTGCCACTTTATATCAAAGGTGAAACACATTTATACAATTTTTTCAAAAACGGGTCAAACGATATTGATTAAACTCTGTGTATCATTGTATAATTAAGTGATCTTTAATATCATTTAGGTCTTATCCCCATTGATGTCACTTTACAGGGTTTCAATTCCCAATGTTGATATACGTTGTCCTCTAAAGTACTTTTAATATGGTTTATTTAAAAAAATTAACACTCTTTTATTGACATAAACTATAAAAAATGGCTAAATATGAAGTTTGAAAGAATATGATAATTGGAATAAAGAAAAATGCTTATCCAGGTTGAAATTGAATCTCCGGTAATAACACTCAGATTGTACACGTATAATATATCGTTGGAAAGCGGAGAATTTAAGAAAAAATAATATCAAATAAATAAAGTTGTAGAAGGTAACGGAGAGTGACGAAAAAATATAAATAATAATTTCAGAAAGTTAACATTATTTAAATTAACATTATTTTGGATAATGGATTGAGACAAGGTGATCCTCTATCTCCCCTTCTTTTTAACCTTGCCTTGGAAGTGGTTATTCGCTCTATTCGAACAAATCCAGGAGGAACAATTTACAATCCTATGTCTCAACATCTGGCATATGCCGATGATGTTGCCATTATCTCAAAAACCCAAGCAGTTATCGGAAACTTTTCAGGAATTCGAAGAAGCAGCAGCTAAACTGGGCCTTAGAGTTAACGAAAATAAGGCGGCGTATATGAAAAATTCAAAAATGGAAAAGGAAATGAGTACAGAAATAGCATTAAGGGATCACAAGCTTAGGTCTGTTGACCAGTTCAAGTACCTTGGAAGCCTGGTCACATGCAATAATAAAGTAGAGAGTGAAATAAACGCCAGGATTGCAGCAGAAAATAGATGCTATTTCTCACTGCAAAGAGACTTGAAGTTCAGATCACTCTCTAAAAGAATCTAAATTCTCATCTACAAAACCATACTAATGCCAGTGATTATGGGTGTGAGACTTGGGCCTAACCAAAAACTCAGAACGCACGCTCAACTCCTGGGAGAGGAAAGTATTGAGAAGAATATGGGGCGGAATCTTTGAGAATGGAATCTGGAGAAGAAGAAAGAATGAGGAGCTGCGGGAACTCTATGGTGAACCTGATATTGTAGCATTGATAAAAAGAGCCAGAATCAGATGGTTAGGTCATGTGGAAAGAATGCCAAAGATGATTCTGCATGAGAAGCCGTATGGCAAAAGAAGTAGAGGGCGCCCTCGGAACAGATGGACGATCCGAGGCGATAACTATAAAATTAGATTTTTATTGCCTACCGTTGATATAATAAATAAACTTTTTGTAATTTTAATGGTCTTAATGATTAGTTATCTGCAAGCTTTAAGCTTTAGCTCCGTTTAAAATGCACTTCAAAAGTTTTATAATAGCCCCAACATTGCCAGAAAATAATTTCTATTCAAAGTAAAGGGGTATGTGAAAGTTGTGTGTTGCATGCACCAGATTTTTATTAAATAAAGAAGTCAGATGGAATTACAATTAGCTAGCGTAGGTCGATTATGAAATAGAATAGCAGCTGTATGAACTATAAAGGAGTCAAGTCCAAGAGAATGGGATATAAAATACAATGTAAGCTTAAATTTGAACCCCAAGGATAATATAATTGAAATAGTATCAGTTTGATTTATAAAGGGACAGATTTAATATCTGAGGCTTTTTTGGGGGGGGGAGTGGAGGGGAGACAGTGAGAGGGAGTATTTATTACTGAGAAGGATGAGGTGGAGATTGGACGTGGGACTTGATATACAAGGCTTATCTGAAATGAAAAATTGATGTTAAGTTCCTATCTACAATGACGTTGGCACACCTGTCCTCGTAGTTAGTTTCGATTTGAGAGCCGCTAACGTTCCTTCTCCAATGCCTTCTTTTAGCGGTAGGGTAACATCATAATTTTATATTTACAAAATGCTTGTTGTTTTGAGGGTCTTTTCAAACTTTACTTGTTTTTATTGTAAGTAACGATTCTCATCGCTAAGTATGTCATATCATAAAAGAGTTCTAAAAACAAACCAAAGAAACATAAGCTCTAAAAAAATGTATTCAAAGAATGGTTTTACTTTGTAGCAATTTTTATCATAACGATTTTTCATCTCCAGTCATATATTTAAAGTTAAATAAACAAATTGCAATACTAAAAGTATAATTTATGGGATGTTTATTTATAAACCACATGTGTCTAATTTATTTAAAACATTTTTTTTTCTGTGAATATTTAAATCGTACTTAAGAATGCCTTTTCCAGAGAATTTCGTTACTGAAATATTTTTCCTCAAGTAGTTGCGGCTTGAGGAATACTTTTGTAGGATGTTGTTAAATAATGAAATTGAGTAATGTAAGTAATACCAATTAAATATAACAATAATTACCAAAAAGTAAGTTATGTCTAATTATGAAATTTTTATTCTAGGAAGGAGCAGTGTACATTGTAATATATATATCGCTTAGCTTTCATGAAACCTCCTGTCTTTATGATGAAAGCGATGATTACTTTGACTCCGATTTAATACCTTTTCTATCGATTAGTACAGAAAAAGCACCTAGATCGATTATAAATGACAGTTTTAAAAGTTGTCAAACGACCTTAGAAACCAACATTCAAAATCATTATGATACTGTTACCGCAATACCAACAAGACAGAATTCTACTCCAAATATTGCAAGAAACGTTTTACAGTCTGAATCAAACAACCCACTAACCGCCTTATACAAAGTACTTCAAGAAAATATTACGGCCGATTCAAAACCAAATCAAGGCACAGAGAGTGGAAATACTTTAAAGAATGAAAACAATGAATTTCTCAGAAAAAAAGTAAACAAACAGTTTTCAAAATATACTACTTGCAATTCGAAACGAATGGAAAAAATAGATGTCTTAAGCAAGACGAAATCTGAAGAAAGTGGCAAAGATGATTTTAATGAATATATATTTTCGAATTTTTTTGATTCTTTACTGTCGATGGTGAGTTATATAAATCCAAATCTTCTAAATGTTCTGGATGCAAACATAAAAAAGTTTCAAATGTATAATGTTATAAAAAGGGATTCTATAAATAGCATTTCTTCCGATGATAGTGACGAAAGTTGCAGTACATTGAAGACTATGTTGTGTAATTGCGATTACTGTAGAACTGGAAAGCCGGATACAGTTCTCTATATTGTATCGGGGAAGAAGTTAAATAATAGCATTACTTACCATAAGCTGACGTCAATTAATCGTTCGAAGCCAAAAACGTCATACAGATATCAGCTACGAACAACCGATGATAACGGTTCCAATTGTTCTTATCAGCTTATCCATCTTCCAGCGAATTACAAGGAACTTAGTATGGGTGCTAAAACAAATAAAAAAATCGTCAATAGCAACCAAAAGACGAGTGCTTTCCATACCCAACCGTCTATGAAGACAGCACCTGTTTCCCGAAATCTGGATATTAAAGATATCTCACCTTATAAGGGGCTCAAGAACTTCAAGGGACTTTATAAAACTTCAAATGCCAAAGTTAGTGGTTCGGTAAAGGTACCGTTAAAATTAATTGAACCTAGAAGTCATAAATACAAACCTATTTTTTTTTTTGAAAATAACCCATTCATAAAAGAAACCGACTCAAAAATTAAGAACGAAAACCATGACGAAACAGATAATAACAAAAACCGTATTGAGCCACTGCATTTTTTTTACCAATCAACAACAAAATCCATAGAATTCAGTGACTATTATGATAGGAACAAGAGTGATGTCAATAAAAAACAAGAAAGTTTATTCTGCGATGAAGCAAAAAATCCATCTACTTTTAGAAATTTGAACAGATCCTCGAACGTCACCAAGATAAGTAAAATTTCTATGAACACTTCAGAAAAAATACCTGAAACAAATAGCAACCGATCACCAGTAAAAAATATCAGGGAAAAAAATGTTAGTAACGAGAAAATAGACGCGCAAGAACCTAACTTAAGTAGAATTGAAAATGTGGAATTCTTAACCACTGAAGCGAACATTATCACATTTCATCCAGGTTCTTCAAAAGGCATAACTGAAGATAATTATTTAAAAAATGCATTTCATAAAAAAAATTTCAAGAAAATCTCGAAAGCTGCTTTAAATGATAAAACTTTAAAGTTTTTAAGCCCACTAACAAGAGCCTTTTTTGAGATTCATCCTGTTATAAATAAAAATGATAAATATACACCAAAATATTCCACCGAACCCTTGGAAAAATCGTTAATAGGAATTATTGATAAATTGTTGGATAAAGTAGAAGCTCTGAATGTTACTGGAGCAGAATACATAGAAACAACGACAGATAGTACAATACAAATAAGTAATGGTGGAAATAATATCAGTAATACAGATGACTTTAGGAATAGTTCTTTAGGGACGAAGCCCGATAAGAATGAATACTCGACAGATATAAGCGAACAATTAAATTTGTGTGATTCCATGTTCAGTGCTACATCTTCAACAGTACAACCAAGCGCCATTACCGCCATTGTAACGGCGACAGTAGCGTTAAATACCTCTGTTAATAAAATAGAAAATTATGTAAACTATGATTTATATTTAAGAAATTTGATTGGCGAGTCTAACATTGATGATAAAATAATGTGTTCATAAGACACCATTTTCACTTAAGTACTTAGATTTGTGTGTGCATTTAAAGCTTTATTGTTGGTTGGAAAATTTTTTTTGATTCTCTCATATTTTTTTCTAATTATAAATCGAAGATGCTTTAAAACATTTCAAAAAACAATAACACACACATTTTTAAAAAATATTATTATTTTTTATCTCTAACTGTTATAACAAAATAGTTCGATTTTCATTATTCATATTTATCTTGATCCAATATATTTCATCTTTTAATAAGATTAGAATTGATGGAATCAATTTTATACGGGTCATACCATTGTTACAAAACTGCAAAATTCGATTAAAACTAGTTATAGTTTAACCATGATTTGTACGGCCTCTGTTTCCACCACACATTTTCACAGAAAGTATTCTTTGCTTGCAGATGTATCGATTTCTCAATGATTTTCTACACAATTGTTACAAACATTTGATTGATATTTCTTAGAAATTATTTTATTTTTCAAGTGACATTGTTACCATATGGGATTGGTAATTTGAAAACATTAACCATTTTTTATACCAATAATACGAATATATTTAACTTGAAATAGATTTTTATAGTTTATCGTCGCTTTCAAAAAATCACTAAGTAACTTGACATTCCCCTATCTGAAATCATAACGTTGTATATTAGAGAAACTATTTTTGGTGTTAAACAGAGTTGTCTTATTTTGATACATATGATAAATATTTGCATCCATAAATATGATTGAAACCATAGGCAGATCTATGCGGTTTAGATTCGGGCTGAACCCTCCTCCCTCACCAAAATGGTAAAATATAACCATGTTTTATGAAATTTTTTTTTAAAAAAGTATTATTATTCACCTGATTACATATAATTGGACCTCAAGAATCAATTAATCACTATTTCATATAGGTAGTTAGTTTCTTTCTTTCTTCCAAAGTAATTATCCTAACATATTTACACAAAAAAAAAATTCTTTCCGGCTGAAGCCCCGCCAAAATTGAATCCTGAATCCGTTCGTGACTTTAAACGATTAACTGAAGGAATTGAATTCTCAATAGTGATTCAGTTGGAGCAAAATACTTTGTACTCGGTACTCAGAGTAGGGTTTGCCCATCTTTGCCCATTCCAACTTCGATTTTTGAAGTTGTTTTGAAACTTTTTGGAGCAGTTGTTTTTCTCCAACGATTAGATTATATATCATAGATTATATATATCATAAAATATATATATATATTATTATATATATAAAGCTTTATATATTATTATATATATATATATATATATTATATATATATATATATATATATATATATATATATATATAAAGCTTTATATATATATATATATATATATATATAAAGCTTTCGGGAAATCTTGGATTCGTTAGTGATTGTAACTATTATTGTGCCAGCAACCAGTTTTCGCAAGTAATGCCCGGGTGGTACTCAGACCCATCTCATCTTATACAGGTCAATTTTGTGGATACCCGGTGGTTTTTCATAACGTAAAAAACTAGCTTTTTTTTTTTTTTTTTTTTTTTTTTTTTTTTTTTTTTTTTTTTTTTTTTGATTAAAATGATTTATTTTATTTAAGAAATTATGTTAATTACGCTACCTGTTATCATGAATTTACCACAAAAGCTGGGTCTCAACTTGTGTGGTCCTTTTGGATAAAATATCATTGAGAACCGGATACCACAAATCAAAAATAATATGCTGTGTTTAAATCCATCAAAAATGTACTTGATGAATTTTCATAATAAACCAAAGATATGAAAAAATATAGTTATACATAGTAAATATTGTTTGTTCATTTTAATTCAGGCTAAAAGATTTTAAATTTTTAATTCAATTTTTTTTAAAATCTATCTTGGGGTGAAATTCGATGTTACTCCTCACTTGGATTACCTGCGAAGTAGCGTGACCCTAGCCCTCAATGGAATAAGTCGTATTAGTGGCGCCTTCTGGGGTCTCAGGTATCCAACGATTACTATCTAGAATGGAGCAGTACTGGGTATCTTGAGGTACGCCTCTCCAGCTTGGAATCGTAACCTCTCGCAACTATAGAAGAGGAGATTGGCGACAATCCAGAGACCGGCTCTGCTGCGAGTAACAAAATCTTACAGCACTGTTGCTCATGAAGCGGTGCATGTTTTTAGCAGGAGTGGCACATCTCGACCTTCTCCTGCAAGAAGACAAGCTTAAGTATATTCTTAAGAAAGAAGGCTCATCAAGTCTTCCAGAAGGATTGCTGCAGATCCATCCAGATGACAAAGAATAATGCTGGAGGACACAATTGCGCAGTGATCGATTTCACTACTCATAAAGTCTCTACTTTCCTACCGTCTATTCAAGGTTGGAAGCGAAACGGGTACTCCATGATTATTGGGTGTCGCGATTCCTGAAAGGGCATAGGGGGTTTTCGCGCCTATCTTTATGGCTTTGGAAAACAAATTAACTCCCTATGTCCCTGTTGTGGTGTTCTGGAAACGTCTGAGCATATCGTCACTACTTGCACCGCTTTTGAAGCAATAAGAGCCAAACTACTGAGGGAAACCGGACTACATTATCACGAAGGACGATTTCCCTCAGCTGGTAAGTAAGGGTAACTACCCGTATTACGAAACATTCGTGTACGAGTAGAACGAATTAGTGGGGAATGAACACTTTAACCTCCACTTCTACCAAACATCTGTATTGCGGAGAGGCAAGGGAAGATGAAAATAAAATAAATAAAAGCTGAAAGATTTTATTTTATTTTTTTATTAATATTCACGAATATCACATTGCATTATAGTCGCCTATTTCTAAAATAAACCAGTGGAGAGTTTACCATTTTTTTTTTCAAAATCGTTTAAAAAAAAAGTGTTATGTAAATAACTTTATTTCAGAAACCGTTTTTTAATATTTTTTTCGTGTAATGTAATGAAACTTTCTTTCTTAAGTATTCTTATAAAAATAATTCATACATAGTTTTTTTAACAGTTTTATTCAAATGACAATTAAAAAAAAATAATAAATTTATTTATTTATTGTGAACAAAAAGTATGTTTTTAAAAATTTTTCCCATGAATCATACACCATTTCTTTCTCTTCATACCGAACAACAACCAACCTATTTTTTTATTTAAAAAACCTAAAAAGGTCTTGAAGTTTGATTCTTTCAAATAGCGGTCATATTTAAGTTTCAATGTTTTTTACTTTAACTTAGCTATACATGGAATATACAGTAATGGAATGTATTGCGATCGTGTAAATTTTCGAATCCGAGTTTTCAACGGAAATACATGTTTTGAGGTTCCCTTAGTTCAAATAACTAAGTCCCGCAAAATGATCTGTACGAGTGTGTGTGTATGTGAATAGTCTATCTCAGAAACGAAAAGTCGTACGAAACTGATATTACCTGTTTAAGATAGGTATATACACGGGAGGATCTTTGAGGGGAGGGAGGAACTTTCGGTCTGAAGCCCCTCCAAAATGGTAAAATATAACCATGTTTTATTTAAAAATATATTAAAAATTATCTCTAAAAGTATTATTGTTCGTGTAATTACATTTAAAAGGACTTAAGGAATCACTTAAACACCATTTCATATAGATAGTTAGTTTCTTTCTTTTTTTCCAAAGTAATTATCATCATTTTTATGAAAAAAAAAGCTTTCTAAAACTTTCTGGCTGAAAACCCCCCGATATTAAATCCTGGATCCGCTAGTGTATGCCTTATTTGTGACAGCAACGTTTTCCTCAAAATCGGCTAACCGGAAGTGCCACTTCATATCAACGGTGAAACACATTTTTACAATTTTCTCAAAAACGGCTCTAACGATTTTGTTTAAACTCGATGTATCACTGTATAATTAAGTGGTCTTTAATGTCATTGCGATCTTATTTTCATTGATGTCATTTTACAGGGCTTAAATGCCCAATGTTGATATACTTCGTCCTCTGAAGTACCTTTAATATAGTTTATATTGAAAAATGAACTCTCTTTTATTGACTGTAACTATAAAAAATGGCTAAATATAACTTTTGAAAGGATTTGATAATTGAATATACGAGAAAAAAAGAAAAATGCTTATCCAGGCCGAAAATGAATTTCCGGAAATAATAGTCAGAAAGTATACGTATAATATATCGTTGGAGAGCGGAGAATTTTAGAAAAAATAATATCTAATAAATAAAGTTGTTGAAGGTAACGGATAATGATGAAAAAAATATAAATAAAATTTTCTGAAAACTAATATTACTTAACGTTAAACCACAAGTTTTTAAGGAAATTAAATTAAATTTTCTTACTAAATGTAAACTTTTAAAAATTTGTTTAAGTTTGACAAAAAGTATTTAAAATCCACGGAATCAAGGCAATGACATTGCTTAAGAAACTATTGTGTATATATCGTACTTGTGTGAAAGAAGAAGTGAAATATAAAAATATTACATGTTTATAACCTTAAATAAATTTACTGTAATTTAATAATTCTAGATCTAATATTATATTTAAATAATTAGGTATCTATCATCCGTTTATTCCGAAAAACCATCATGTAACCTTTTAGAAAATTATATTCGTGAATAATTTGATGAATTTTCCCTTCTTGAAATCCCAACATTATCCACTTGCAATTAGTGTGAAAACTTGTGACCTATCTATGGCAATCAATACAAATATCTTCATTCCATTTTAGTGTACTTTGCAATGGGATATAATAGTTTAATAACTAATAGTCGTACGATCCATAATCAACCATTGATATTATAAATAGGATTTTTCTTATTTTAATGGTATTAATTATTTGTTAGCTGTAAGCTTTAAGCTTTAGCTCGGTTAAAAATCCCCTTAAAAACTTTTTAGATAGCCCAACATTACCAGAATAATTTCTATTCAAAGTAGAGCGGTAAGTATGGTGTTGTGTGTTGCGCGCACCAGATTTTTTACAAATGTGAAACCTTAGGGCTATGGAAACAAAAATATTTTCTTCAAATAAACTGTGACACTTCCACGGGTAAAGTTAGTTGATGGTTTTGTTTTGTTTTTAATGTAAACTGAACATCATGACTAAGCAAGGTGAGATTGCGTTAT